GGGCACTGCCACATATGGGCTATAAAGGTATGTGCCGCTGTGAAGGGTATGGTTTTCAAGCAGTTTACTCCAGGATAGGGTATATAAATCAGACCGTTTGGGTCTAGAAAAGGGTATCATTTTTCACAAAACTGACTGGTTAGTTGAAGATTTCATCTAGAGTAAGGAAACCAGGAATTGCCACTCAAAAATATTAAAAAAATCACATCGGCAAGTTTAAATTTACGCAAATAAGCCTCAACAGTGTCGATAAATGGGGGGATTTGGGGAGTTTACTCTAGTATAGGTTAGCAAAATTCAGCTGAACTAGCTCTGGTATAGGCTGAGGGTTCCAGGGTCCCAGCGCACATCCCCACTCAGAAATTCCCAAAGTATCCCCCCGGGGATAACTCTGACCTGCTTCTTATTATGCAGACACTTTCGAAGTTAGACTTTGCCTATCGTTATGTTTTACATTTTTTAAGGCAATAAGCCTTTTGTTGTCTGTCAGTAGGGATTTTTCCGTCCTGTTTCCCGATATTATAATCGGGTCAAATCGGATTCAGTCGGCAACTTGTCGCTGATGACAAATTTTTCCCAACTTCCCCCGAGCTTGTTGTCTTTTCATCGCCTTTGAACATTGCTTGCTAACCGCTGTGATGATGCAACTTTGCGGAATAAGGTCCTCAGAGCTTGGAATACTTACATAGTAACACTGATTTACAAAGGGGTGTAGGAGCCACATTAGCGGTGGAGTACGGTGTAACGTAAACGAAAGGAATGTTGTAAATGTGAATTTATAATGACAGTTTACCGTCACGCCAGTAAAATATAGTTAATGGAGCGTTACGTACGTTCTCAATGAGCCGTTCATGGCGGCATCGCTTTCTATAGAGCTATTGAGCAGTTGTATTCCAAAGGTCAGCAAATTGTAAGCTTTATTGTAGCTAAACCTAAAACATTGCAGGTTTGCTATCTTGAGAACGTTATAACGAACCATAGTATTGGTCAGGAGCCCATCACTCCTGCATTGGTGCAAAGCACTGGGATTATAGCACTATTCATATTTAACCCTTTGACGCCCAAGTAGCCATATACGGCCACTTAATGGTCGTGCTCTTTGCATCACTTGTGACGTCAGCAATTTAAATATCACCTGATATTATTGATACGCAGATGGTAGTACTGGGCTAGGCCTTTCCCTACAATGATCAGGTTTAGATATCGACGACATTCCGACGTCGCGAATCGAAAAACAACGTTATCAGTTTTGGTGCAAAAACGGTGGTAAAATGGTCCTCTATCCCTATGATTGATCAAGGTCCATTTCTAGGCTTCGCCCATAATTAACATCCAACTTTTCACGGCAGCCAGAAAAAACATGCAACGCAAAAGGTAACCAGAGTAAAAGGGCCGAGAAAAAATGAAAGGAAAGAGGCAACAAACAAAATTGAGAACGGTTAATGGCGCATGCCCAGAATTGAAATATTGCCCAATTTTATACCTAATCCTCGAAAAATCTCTCGTTTTGGTAAAAAAAAGCTTTCTTAGCAAAACGTAGGCTTTCATCA